GACCACAATATGAACATGAGCTGGCAGTGCCATGCTGTAGCCAGCACGGCCAACAATACCCTGGCATGCATCTATTGATGCATTTCCAGCAAAACCAACAAAACCATTGCAAAGAAGTGATTCTCCTGCTCTACTCGGCATTGGTGAGACTGCAACTGGAGTACTGCCTCCAGGTCTGGGCTCCACACTTTAACAAGGACATGCTAAAGCTTGAGAGAGTCCAAAGGGCTACCCATATAATCAGAGACTTGCAGGGCAAGCCATATGAGGAAAGGCTGAGGGACCTGGGACTCTTCAGCCTGAAAAAGAGAAGGCTGAGAGGGGACTTTGTAGCGGTAAGCTGTAATTATCTTACTAGGAAAACTCGCTCTCAAAAGTAGTAGCTGTCCAAGGTAAGTGATTTATTTCTTCAGTTTCAGTTAGAAAGTCTTATTAATACTTGGGGCACCAAGAGCACCCATTGGGGGGCTAAAATGTCTTTAGACAAATGCCAGGAGTATGAGGAATAAGCAGGAGGACCTCACACTCTTACTTGCTAGCGCACGGTATGACCTAGTCAGCTTAACTGAAACATGGTGGGATTCTACGCATGACTAGGTGGTAGGCATTGAGGGGTACAGGTTGTATAGGCACGACAGAGTGGGAAAAAAAGGCAGGGGTGTAGCTCTCTATGTTAAGGAGCAGTACACATCTTCCATCATCAAGGCGTGGGTAGAGGAGGGAAATACCAAGGCATTGTGGGTCAGGATCCAGGAGGGGCCAGGGGAAAAGGACTTGGTAGTCGGGGTCTACTACAGACCTCCTCACCAGGATGACGAGCTAAATGAGGTATTTTCCAGGCAGCTCTCAGACGCCATACAGGCGAGGGAGGCAGTGGTCATGGGAGATCTACATTACCCAGATATCTGCTGGGAGGAGCAGACAGCCAAAACAAGCCACTCATGGAGGTTCCTACACTGTGTGCAGGACCTCCACCTAACCCAGGTGGTGTCCAGTCCCACCAGGGGTAGCGTCTTGCTAGACCTGGTCTTAGCAAAAGGGGATGATCTCGTGGGGAACCTGCGAGTACGCAGTAACCTGGAAGATAGTGACCATCACTTGATAGAATTCACTATCCAGAGAAGGGTGAGAAAAATATCCAGTGAGGCTAAAGTGTTAGACTTCAGAAGGGCCAGCTTTAGTAAACTTAAAAGACTAGTTAGTGAGGTGGTGGAACTCAAGAGTATCGAGCAAATGGGGGTCCAACAGGGTTGGAGGTTTCTCAAGGGAGTGATCCTTGGGGCACAAAAGGAATCTATCCCCTTACGCAGGAAAGGGCCTAGGGGAATAAAAAAAAGCCCCCTTGGCTGAACAGGGAACTCCAGGAAAGACTGGGGGAAAAGAAAGAGATTTATAGGCAGTGGAAGCAGGAGGAAGCCACCAAGGAGGCATACACCTCCCTTGTGCACTATTGCAGGGTTTCAGCTGGGCAGGCCAAGGCAGAACTTGAGCTTAGACTGGCTTCAACAATTAAGGACAATAAAAAAACCTTCTTCAGACACATAGTGAGCTAAAGGAAGGCACAGAGTAACATAGGGCCCCTGCAGGACAAATCAGGACAGTTGGTGGTTGACACAGGGAAAAAGGCGGAGCTCTTCAATGAGTTCTTTGCTTCAGTATTCCAAAGTACTGATCAAGACAATCCCCCCACCTTGAGCATAGACAGATGTCCAAAAGGCACCAGACCGCCAAAGGTTAGTGCTGACTTAGTTAAGGAGCACTTGGAAGGGCTGGATGGGTGCAAGTCAGCCGGCCCAGACGACCTCCATTCACGGGTGCTGAAGGAATTGGCCAGTGTCATAGCTGGGCTGCCGGCATGGCTGTTTGAGCACTCATGCTGCTCCGGCCACATCCCTGAGGACTGGAAAAGAGCCAACGTGGTGCCCATTTTTAAGAAGGTGAGAAGGGATGAGCCAGGTGGCTTTAGGCCAGTCAGTCTCATCTCTATCCCTGGGAAAATACTGGAAAAAATCATCAAAGAGCACATTTGTGAAAGCCCAGCAGGGGAAGTGATGCTGAAAGGAAACCAGCATGGGTTCATCACAGGTAGATCCTGCCTGACAAACCTTATAGCCTTTTATGACCAGGTCACACACTGCCTTGACACAGGAGCTGAGGCTGATGTCATCTACCTGGATTTTAGGAAGGCCTTCAAAAGTTTCACATCCTCATAGGGAAGCTAGCAGGCTGTGAACTGGATGCCTACACAGTCAGGTGGGTGGCCAACTGGCTTAGGGACCGCACCCAGAGGAGCGGTGGTGGACGGGTTGTTCTCTGTCTGTGCAGGGTTCGGTCGTTGGACCGGTGTTATTTAATATCTTCATCAGCAATTTGGACGCGGGTGTGGAGAGCACCCTCCAAGTTCACAGATGATACCAAGTTATGGGGCAAAGTTAACACACTGGAGGACAGGGAGCAGATACAGGACAACCTGGACATGTTAGATCAATGGGCAGAGTGAAATAGGTTGCAATTCAACAAATATAAATATAAGGTACTCCACCTAGGAAGGAGGAATCCCCAGCACACCTATAGGTTGGGGGATGACCTCCTCAGCAGCTCAGAGGCTGAGAGATCTTGGAGTCATAGCTGATTCCAAGATGAACATGAGCCGGCAGTGTAACGAGGCCATCAGCAAGGCCAATCACACCTTGTCATGTATTAGCAGATGCATGACCAACAGATCAAGGGAGGTGATGCTTCCCCTCTGTGGCATTGGTCAGGACGCAGTTGAAGTACTGTGTCCAGTTTTGGACGCCACACTTCAAGAGGAACACGGAAAATCTGGAGAGGGTGTAGAGGAGGGCCACTTGCATGATTAGTGGCCTCCGTAAAAGACCCTATGAGGGGAGGTTGAGAGATCTGGATCTCTTCAGCCTTCACAAGAGATGTCTGAGGGGAGACCTTGTAGCCACCTATAAGTTTATCAAGGGAGGACAACAGGGAACTGGTGATGCGCTATTTACCAGAGCGCCCCAGGGAGTAACTAGGAATAATGAGTGCAACCTAGTGGAGAGTAGATTTAGGTTAGACATTAGGAAGAAATTTTTTACAGTAAGCGGGGCCAGAATCTGGAAAAGAGGTAGTACTATCACCCAACTTGGAGGTCTTCAAGAGGAAGCCTGTTACCTGGCTGGGGTCATCTGACCTCGGTCCTCTTTCCGGCCAGGGGCAGGAGGTCAGACACAATGATCCATTGTGGTCCCTTCTAACTCTACAATCTATGAATCTATAATACTTACTTCCCAGCTATTACTTAACTGAGCGAAAAAAAACAAGGGCTTGGATGGGTACAGGAAATGATTTAAGGTCAGGAAAAACATTAAGCTTTCTTCTTCCCCATTAGGCAAACAAAAGGTTAGAAAGATACTAGTATTTCATGCCTTTGATAAGCCACACAAAATACACAATTATCAAGGCCAAAGTTCTCAAAAATAAATCGGTGAACATGAACAGTCAATCTGAAACACCATGCAGTACCTGATTTTCAAGTAAAAAATTCTCTTGTGTGCGCATTTGTATTCAATAGTTAAGGGGTAGAGAAGACAAAGGAGGGAAGTAAAATTTCTGCTTGTGTGACTCACCTAGAAACAAGTTGCTGGAGCAGTTAGTTGGGTGATGCCAAGAGAAGTTATTAAACCAAAATTTGGAGAATCTGGTTTTTACAGGTTTTACAAGTAACATACTGCAAGTCTGAAATGTTTACTAAGCTGGCAGCCCTCTTACAGCCTTGCAGATGAACGGGTGAAAGCAAGAGATCTCCTTGCATTCCTTAGCAAGCTACCTGCACTACTGAGCCCAAGGAGCTGGGCTGCTATTCCTGCACATGTAGGTAGGAAACTTTCTGTTTCAAACCCCAGCGCCACACACACACAGACATACCTCAAGTATGGCATAGATTACTTAACCCCTACAGCAAAACTAAAGCAGCAAGTGAATTCAGATCCTGCTCTTGGCTAGGTGGCAGAGTTAAAAGTCAGTCCTCTCGCTCTACACACTCAGTTTAGCTTTAGGACAAAAATACAATATTGCAGCCTGAAAAATGGTCACATTCCCAAAGCTTACTAGCAACAGAAATAAAGATATTTCTAAATTATGCTTTATTTTTCTAATATTCTTTCCCTCCCAAACCTTAATCCCTCTTTTCTAGGTCTCTAAACACACCCACTGAAAGAAGATACAGACCAAGGGCTATCAACCGGGGTACACGTACCCCTGGAGGTACTTGGGAAGGCCCCAGGGGGTATGCAGCAGTGGCACAAAGAAGCAGGGCCGCATCCAGTTTCACCGCCAGCACTTCTGGTTTCACCACTGTGCACGGAAGACCCTTACCCCTGCTCATAGATTGGCCGAGGAGGGCCCCCCTCATCAACCAGCCACGGGACTCCCTGCTTCTCAACCAGCTGCCAAAGGTACACCAACCAGAAAAGGTTGAAAACCTCCGATATGAGCTATTATTCTTCTTCTATGCAGACTCCCATGGCATTTGGGCAGATACCACAGGGAACAAGCTGTGAGTGCGGTGCAACCCTAGACCAGGGCCACGCTGCAGAAAGCACCCCTGCGGCCACTGTGCCTCCACTCCCTGCTGGAGGTGGCACCACATGTCCCCACTTGCTTCAGGAGTTCGCCACCTGCTCCAGGGCCCCTGCTGGAACCCACGGACCGCAGCGGGCGTCGTGTCCTGCACGTGGGCAGCTCCAGGTGGGCGGAGCCAGCCCGCCCCGTGCTCACGTCAGCAAAGTGCCCGGGCCACCTCGCGCCAGGCCCCTCCCTGTTCCAGAACGAACGGCACAACCCGCGGCGCAGGGGTCGCACATGACGTCGGCCTCCCCCGCGCATGCTCACTCAACAACCCGTCGCTAGCACCCCGCCCCCACCGCGGCCGGCCCCGGAGTTGCAGGGCGGGGTCGGGAACCTGGCGAGGGAGAGTGAAACCGTGCGCATGCGTGGGGTGGTACCTCTCGAGCGCGCGGGCAGTGTGGCTAACGAGCGGCCTCCCCTGCAGCGCGCAGAACTGCTTCGGCCTGGCGGCCCCCAGACGCTCCCCGCTGCCGCCCGCACTGGCCCTTTAAATCTCGAGGGAGGGGGAGGATGGTGGTGCGGCTGCCCGAGGTGCGCATGCGCAACCGCGCTGCTGAGGAGCGGGGGGTTCCAGCGTTGCCCCCAGATTCCAAAGGGGCGGAGCTGGGCAGTGCGTCAGCGCCGGGCACCTGTTCGCCTTGCGGGGTCTCCGCGGCGCTGCAGTAGGGCCCAGCCTGCGCGTCCTCCCCGCCCCAGGGCCCACACCGCCGGGGGAGGCTGAGGGAAGGGCAGTCAGCAGCAAGTCCTGGGCTTTGGGCTTTCCTCTTCAGTGAGAGCCTGTTAAAGGTCCCATAGGAAAGAGCCAAGCGTTGGCATGGCCAGTGGAGCCCCCGGGTGCATCTACACTTCATTAATGTGCCATAGTTACTGCGCTTTAGTGCTTGTATAACTGTACTAAACCAGTGTGCAGTATCTGACGCTACTATGCAGTAGTGCCAGCACATAGCTTTTTAGTGTGCTAACTGCATAGAAGCCTAATGCTACTGTGCAGTAGCATATCGGCATGTTTTTTTGCCATGACACACTATTGTGCAGTAATATTAGGCCACTGCGCAGTTAGCATCTTGTGTAGACGTGCTCCTAGTGTCCTAACATTTCTGTCTGTCCGCCTCTGCTTTGTCACAGCAGAACGGCTCTAGGATTTTTCTGTAGTACAAACGCCTGAAAGCAAAGAGGCAGCATTTCTGAGAGGAGCCTCCAGTCTAACAAGGTTGTGAATTGCTGCCTTGGAGGCTACACAACCCTGGGCGTCACCCTACAGTGCTTTTTGATCATTTCAAGAGTGCTGTGGGGTGGTGCACAATGCTAGCATTGTTAGATGTGCAGACATGAGTCACAAGATAAACCCAGAGGTTTCAAATAGAAATCCTGTATGTTTTTACCAAGTCAGAACAGACCAAAAGCTTGAGGGTTCAGGAAAATGTAGAACTGCCACCTAAAAGAAAGATGAAAAAGTGAGTAACTTTGATTATATTATGAAAAATTCCATAGTATTCAAAACATTCTGACCCATTGTTGGCTTCCCAAGTTTTTTGCAACAGGAAAATGCTGTGTTATTTTTCCATAGTCAAAAAAAAATGAGCAAAAACTAAGAGTTGGCACTTTCTGAGGGGTGCCATGAGCCAAAGAGGCTGAGGACCACTGGGTTAGGGTGAGTAGGTTAGCACTGCTCCTGATACAAATGAAGATTCACAGTGTTCAAAGGAACAGAAACCTTCACCAACTTTTTGACTCCTCCATAAAAGACCACTGGTATCCAGTCACTGACTCCAGGAAAGAGAGATGCTAAAATAGCTTCTTCCAGTCAACAGCTGCTCAGGCATACTGCTTCATCTTATGATGCACTGCATTATAAATAGTAATGGATTCCATTTATCCTTATGAGTTTACAGGACCAAATTCTGGCTTCCAAAAGGGTACATGAGGGGGGAAAAAAAAAGAGAGTAAAGCAAAGGGAGATGAGGAAGGCATGCCAAATGTAGAAGTCACACCTACATATAGTGGACCAGGTATGGCATAAATTGATATGAATGTTTTCCTTACACATTTCCTGTCCTGCCATTTGAGTAGCTTAAAATATCAGTGTTAATCTCTCTTTATTTTAAAGATTCTAATACATCTCACTGTACAGATAACTTTACGAATTTAAAATGACAAGCGTGGTGAGTTTGTAACTGATTTTTGCTAAAAATACTTGCTTACAGTCTGTTGTACAGTGTTCTGGAGATTTGGGAACTCCTAACTCTTAATTTTGTTGAGCATCCATGACCAATTTCTGGTTTTGCAGAAGCCTTGTACATTACTGTTTGTGGCACTACGTGTGGTTTTACTACTGCCATGTTGAGGAGTTTCACATTTATACCCTACATCTTCCCCCACAACCTGCCCTGAAGACTAGTATCTCTGACTGGCCAGCATCTCTTCTTGGATGCCACTGGATTTCAGCTGCTTACTCAGGGTCAATGACTAAACTCAGAGTTACTCGTCTTTCTTTCTTTCTCTTTTTAGTAGGCAATTCTACCGTTTTCTTTAATCCTAAAGCATGTAGTCTTGTGTTTCAGTCTCTCCTTTTCCTACTTTATTACTACACCAGCAAGTGGCCACATTTTTCTTTGGCAGTTTTTCTTTCATGTCATTACTATACTTCCTCTCCATTCCCCCTCCTAACTCTTGCCTTATTCTTTCTTCATGGTTCATCCGAAAGAGTTGCACAAAAAACATTTTTGATCGATGTAACTTCTTGATCATTTGCTTTTGTTTTTATATCCCATGTCCCATTTTTTGTTTCCACAAGATGAAGGAACAGTGTATGGCAAAATGAGACATTAACTAACTGGAAGGTAATATCGCATTTTAGTGTAGTCATACATGTTAATACATTGATACACTGAACTAAGGGCAAGATTTTCTAGTCCTGGCAACCATTACCCTGGAGTCGCTCCAAGTTAGATATGGACCCGAGTGGTCCAAAGCTATTTAGGTACTTAAGTGTTTTTCATGGTTGCATCTGCACAACGTACCTGCCTCTCCTTCATGGTGAGACTTGTAGCACAGCTGCCAAAAAGATTGGTCAGCACTGCTCTCTGTAGTCTTCCCTGCCTATATTAACTGTATTAAGCTTAATGTAACTGTTTTTTTCTCCATCTTATTAAGTACTGAGAGAGAGGAGAAGATGAAATAAGTTATTATTACTATTGATTTATTGTTTAGTATGTTTAGGGTAAATTAAACAAAAAGCCAAACCGGTTGAAGAACTTGATAGTTCCATACTGTACCATTTGCATTGTGAAAAAAATCCTTGTGGTAAATAATCTGTTTCAGTTGGTTTCAGTCATGTCTTGCCAAAGTGACTAGCACCACAAGTGAAAGGGACCTAGGGGTAATAATAGACCATAGTACAGACATGGGCCATTAGTGCGATGCGATGCTGTAGCCAGCAAGGCAAACAATATTCTGGCATGCATCAACTGATGCATCTCAAGCAAAACCAAGGAAGCAATTCTTCCACTTTACTCAGCATTGGAGAGACCACAGCTGGGAGTACTGCATGCAGTTCTGGGCGCCACACTTCAACAAGGACATGGAAAAGCTTGAGAGAGTCCAGAGAAGAGTTACCCATATAATCAGAGACTTGCAAGGCAAGCCATACAAGGAAAGACTGAGGGACTTGGGTCTCTTAAGCCTAAAAAAGAAAAGGCTGAGAGGGGACTTGGTAGCAGCTTACTGCTATATCAGGGGAATATATCAAGGGCTTGGTGAACATCTGTTCACCAGAGCACCCTTAGGGAAAACCAGGAGTAATGGCCACAAACTCCTGGAAGACTGTTTCAGGATCAACATTAGGAAAAACTTCTTCACAGTTGGTGTCCAGACGGTTGAATAAATTCCTTCCAGAGGTAGTGTAATCATGTACGCTGGAAATCTTCAAGAGGAGATTGGACCGTCACCTCACTAGGATCACCTGACCCCAGTTGCCTTTCCTGCCTACTGCAGGGGGGCTGGACCTGATGATCTTGTGGGGTCCCTTCCAGCCCCTTACAATCTATTAATCTATGAGCTGGATACCTGACCACCCTGGGTGGTAGCTGCTCATGGGGAAGTACCAGTGTCTGTTGCTGGTGGCATGACAGTGGCCAGGCTAGCAGCACAGCTGCTGTTATTTTTGCATCTCTCTACTCAACCACTCCCCACCTTTATGCTACCAGCATTGCACATATTAGAATCAGATTACAGAATTGGGTTTAAACAGTTCACAGTTGGAAGAAGTACATTCTGTTCTGTTGAAAAACACCATTTAAAAAGTTTTTCATAAGGTTATCAGAGTAGTAGAAGTTGTACTAAAAACTTAGATTGGAAAGCCAAACTTTGGGAAGTCAAAAGAGAAGTACACCAGTTTAAAATAGCAAGTGGCCCTTAGTTCCCAAAATTGCCATCCAAAAAGACTGTGTAACAGTGCAGGCATTTGAACTTTCTTTAATTCTGTGTATCTAGGTATCGGTCTCTCACCAAGACCCCAGAAATAAGCAGTGACAGCTCAGTAATATACCCAACATAACACCATCACAAAATGTAGGTGTGGGTGCTTCCCTCTTCAAACTGAGGAGGATGCATCCTTTATATAAGTTTTACAGGGGAAAAAGACTCCTGAAATGTGATGCCCAGGATTATTTGCAGGGTTTGGCCAATGTCTGTAGAATTTTTAGACAGGCATGTGTAGGGACAAGAACCTAAGACTCCCTCTCCAAGGGAGTGCCCTAAAACCACTGTAAGTAGGTGTTATTCTTCTCCTAACACCACAACTCTTGCATTCCTTTCCATGCAGAGGACCAGTTTCAGCAGAAGTAGAAAGTGCCTCCATCAAGGTTAATGGTTAGCCAGGTAGTCAGGCCCCTCACCCAGAGGATGGGAGGAATGGGTTTTAATCATGCTGAGGACAAAACTGAACCTGCATCTCTACTTCCTGGCCAGGTGTTCTAGGGCACTTGTACACGTGACGATGTCACACTGTACACCTGATGAAAGTGTCACTTTGTGTGGCCTAATGGTGTCACACATTACACGTGCACCAGTTTTCATGGTTTTAGATGAGTTTGCATCATTGCAAACTCAACTACATTCTGTTGTAGTTGAGTTTGCAATGATGCATTGTAGCTAATCAGCTCATCCCCTGGCTGTGGGGGAGGTGGGTGGTCTCTGCAGAAAAAAGGATCAGGTCCCTTTGCTACTTATGCATTCAACAGGTGTCTGCTGAAGGCAGAAGCAGCAAGGGGCCCGATTTTTTTTTTTTCTTCCCCTGACAGAGCCTGCCCGCCTCTCCCGTGGTTGGGGGGGCAAGCTGCCAGCAGCCTAAATTGAAACAGTGGATTTCAATTAAAAACCTATCATTTCAATTTAGGGGGCATAGAAAACTAAACCCTCATCACATGACAAGTGCCCCAGCTGCTAAACTATTTTACAAAAAAAGTGGACTTCAATGGCATTGGCCTCACCACCACCACCACATCCAGCTACATTTCAAGAAGTGAAAGAATGGCCAATTGCTGATCCTCGGGAGGATTGCAGTGTCTGGATGCTGAATAGAGGGACACAACAGTTTGCAGTCTTAAATCAGGTGTAGACACACTTTTATCGTTGTGTTATTTACCTCAGATTTTACAGTGCCTTGGTGAAAGAGGAACCAGTAATTGCTTGTGTGCACTGATATTATAATTCTCTCCAAGGACATCTTTACCCTAGATTTGAGCAGTGTCTTAGCAAGACTATAGGTCCTGTGCCTGCTCTAGTTTTATTTCAGAGAAAATCAATTTACTGTGAAGTAAATATGCCTTTATCTCCACTGTCACCTAAATGCTGGAGAAGGGTGAGAGTTCAGACACATCACTGAGCTTAATATTTCCTGTTAGCTAGCCATGGGCAAATTTCCACTCAATATGTAAAATTCTTCTGATCACCATTCTAACTTTTACTT